TTTTTTTTTTTTTTTTTTTTTTTTTGAAGAGATTTTAATATTAAAAACTGGTAGTAGTTTTCATGCGAAGAAATGCCTCGTTCCAAATTTCCCTCTAGACAACCGCATTTGTATAATCATCTTGGCTCACAGTTTAATTTGAAAAATCTTGACTCGAATTATCGTTTACTCTTATTTTTGCCGGTTTCTGTACACCAGAAATTTTTTTTTTGAGTAAGTTATTGCTTTAAGGCGTGATCGCAGCTGTGTCATGGTTTGGCTTAAAAGAATCAATCTTAAAGATATGTAAAGGGAATTCTTTAGCTTTGGTATTATTTAACACTGCAATCTGGAAGTATTTTGATTTATACTTACAGGTTTGAAAGTTTCTTGTTATTGCAGTTTTTTGTTACGTTTGTTTTTAATTTGCTTTGTGAGGAAGCTTGTATTTTAAAAGTACTACAGAATCCTTTACAGAATCTTTTACGAAATTTTTACAGGATGTGGAAACTTATATGGCTAAAATGCGTGTTAGAGAGGAGTTGCTTGATTTAATCCGCAAGGTTGGTTTGCATCTTGAATTGGTAACTGGTTTTTTTTACCGTTTCTTCATTGTGTGTTTGAAGTTCACACTCTTGATTAAAATATGCTTTCACCTTGCGTTCTGTTACATTTTCATTCCTAAATAGGACTCTAGAAATCGCATGAGGATTTTTGAAGGGCTCGGATATTTCGTATTTTTCAAAACTCTCGCGTGGTTGTTCCTTTTTCTTCATTGGGGAGTTTGTTTGAAGTAGACCTCACGGTTTTTTTCTGCCATGCAATTCATCAAAATCTTTTTCTTTTGTCCCGGAAGATTCGCTATTGTTTCTTTGCAGAAGAAGAATTCTGTATTTTTTGTGCTTAATGCCAAATTTTCCCCCTTTAAATTACTTTGCGTAAGTTTTTTTGAGACATCTTTTAAGTTGTTATTTAATGTTTGAAAGGTAGATAGCTATGTAAGGCGCAGTGCAGGAATCCTCTCGTATGCATCCATTCAAGTATTTGTTGATCATTTCTGATGTATGTGAAGGTAACTTTGAACTGTGTTACGTTCACTTCATGCAGCTACTTTAGGTATATCCTACTGGTAGCCTTTTCGTTGTGGGTTCATCTATCAATGGTTGCGGCACAAACGATTCTGATATGGATCTTTGCTTGAATTTACCTCATTATCATACTAAGTGTTCAGGCTTCCGACGGTCCTATTTCTTATCATCTTTTTTAATACAAATATTTTGCTCCAGCAAAAGCGCTGAGCATTTTTAACTTCTCTATGGGGGTTAATGTGATGCTGGAAATGTTACCATGATTTAGATCAAGTTTGGAAGCGCTTGACTCATTAATGGCGTTTATACTAAAGAACAAACCAGACTTTATTATAGACTGTGAATTGATACCTGCATCGGTCAGTGCATTTGAATTTGAGTTGCCCGCAGCTTCAAATTACCGTAAATGTACCTGCTGCTGAAAAGCTGTGGAAACAACTAATAAAGTTTCTTTCTGAGCGTTTATAGGTCCCTATTCTGCGGCTGGTCTTAAGCGTATCTTTCGGGCTATTGAAAGTCGATTTAAACGTCAATAATATATCAGGCATTTATAACTCTCATCTGCTTCATTATTATTCTAGGTGGGTCTTGGTACCAATTTTTATCGCAGTAATGTTTTAAATAAAGCATTATTAGTTTAAAATTGTTGAAAGACAATTAGTAAGCTCTTAAGTAGTTCTTTAAAGTTTTAATGTAAGAGACGTCAGTAGTATCCTCTTCATTTTTCTTTGTTTTTGCTAGAACAACGTTTGTGAAGCTGTTGATTAAAAAGGATTTTACTTTCTTTTGTTTTGAAACTTTTCTTTACCCACTCAGAGTTTACGTAGTTTCAGCATTGATTCCCGCTTTCCAGCTCTTTGCGTTCTAGTCAAGCGTTGGGCAACTTGGGAAGGAATAAAAGATCCTGCAGTAGGGACTTTCAACAGGTAAGCTTACGAATATTTCGCATTCTTGTGAGCACGCCGTCTTTCAGTAGGGGTGTTTCATTCTAAGGTCTCTTCCATTTTCGCATTCTTTAAGAATCACTCATATCTTGTTCGAGGTGCATTCTACGGAGGTACTTCTTCGCGTGACTCCTCCTACCTCCCCTGTTAAATATAAAAGGTCTTGAGTAATATGTCTGAAGTTTTGAGGTAGAGCAATTTATTGCACTGGCAGTATCACAGTTTTTGATTTAAGCCAAAGAATTAATTCAAGCTGAAATCTTTATGACACTTTGCACAGGGTACGTGATAGTTTAGGATGGTAAATATCTGTATATGTATAGATGTTTCCTCTACTTTTCTTTTTATAAGGTTCCCGGTGTTTCTGTTTACTTAAAAAAAGAATGCTTCTTTGGTTCCGCTTTCATTATAAACCGTCTCTTTGAATTTCAGTAGAAAGTCTTTCCATATCTCATCTGTCACACTTTGCTCAGCTCAACCGTCTTTCCCTGTATTTTCGTGCCAGAAGTCTCTCACCTCACTTTTGTTACGAACTTGCGGGGACGACAGTTTTACGACCCAAACAGATCCACGCCAAATCTTTCTAAAAAAAATTTTTAATGTCAAGAGTCAGCCAAATTCCAGCAAAATAGCCTTGCTATCATCTTATGTAGTAATATGAGGAGTATCTTTGGATTTTGGCATTTCCGTTTACCTCTTCCCCTAAAATGCTTCGTTTCATTCTGCAGAGTGATGATGAAGCTAGACTAACGGCTTACTTGTTTATAGTTATACTTTAAATCTGATGGTCGTACATTTCTTGCAATGTGGAATCGTCCCGCCCGTCCTGCCAAACTTGCAAAAACTGATGCCACAACGTTTCTCTTTACAGCGCGAGTTGAGCTCGCTTGAGCTTTTTGACGAATCGATTAAACTTCCTGGTACTTTGTTTTCATTGATAATCTTTTTGCCATCAGATTTCCTTCTAAGTTTGAACGGGTGTTAATGGTTTGAATCATCTAGAATGGGAAATGAATAAGTGCAGCGTTGGGGAACTTCTAATTGCATTTTTTGATTATTACTGTGAATTCGACTTCAGAAACGACGGCATATCAATTAGAAAGGGCTCTACTTTTTCTCGGTCCGTTTATCAAGCTTTCCAAATTTTGTTTCCTTCCAGCCGTTCCAGTGAATCAAGACTTTTATATCAATCGTATTTTTTGAATTTGCTTTCACGTACCGCCCCATTATTTCAAATCAGTTTGGTGTTAACATCCTCACTGCTAACCGTAACAACATCGTTTGAGTCGTTTAAATTTGGAATGTTTCAGACAATATCTACCACTGAGGACGAAATGCTATCAAATTTACGTCGAAGATCCATTTGACTGTAAAAATACAGCACGAGCAATTCAAAATATTGAAGATTTTGGACGCATTAAGTTGGCGTTTCTTAATGCCAGAGAAAAGTTTTTAGGGAAGCAAGATTTTGATTTATGTGATATCCTGCGATAGAGTCCTTTTATAATACGATTTCTTTTAATACGGTTCCCTCGCCATTTTTTTATGAAGTTATTGTTTGGATCGGTGGTAATCTGGGTTATGATTGTGTTAAATGATATTATCAGAGCTTTTAGATCCACTTTTCTCCTGGGTTCTACTACTGCAGTTTGAACACCGTTAGTGCTTAAGGGATAAGAAAGAAGCGTGAGACACTTATTTAGGTGGCTAAAGAAAGATAGGTGTCGGGGAGATGAAGACAGAGAGCGCACAGGGGACACAGTTCCTAATGTTATTCATAAAATGAAGTGGTAAATTTTTTTGCTCAGCTGGTGGATCAACAGAAAATGCATTGTGACTTGCACTTAAGTCCATACGATTAATTCTCGCATTTAATTTAGGTTTAAAATGCTGAGCAATAAAACACTCGTGATTACTTCTCTACAGAGGTTAAAATTAGTGTTATAAATAGGAAAATTGGAGTAGAGCAGAAAGAGCAATACTTGAGTGCTGGCTGCACCAGCACTACTACATCCAAGAAAGGATGGAACCTCGGTTTTGCTTAAAAGAGCATAATGGTTCTGCAAATCACGTTGTGACTTCACAAAAAACAGCTGTCATCACCAGAAGTAAAAAATAAAAATATAATAATGTATCAAGGGCAAAGTGCAGAAAAAACGAATTTAGGTCTTCAAACGTTAAATTTGAACGTAGTACTTAAAGTAGTGAAATGATGGGATTTGGCAAAGCCGTGCGGTTAGGTGTTTAGGGAACCGTAAAGGAATTATGAAAACATAAACACCTATACTCATTTGAACCAGAGGCCCATCCACAAATACCGTGCTACCTGTTGTGAAAGACTGTGGTGCTCAAAGGGTACGAAAGGTCATGACGGAAAAACGGAAGTGGCATGTTTTGCGTGAGTAGTCAGGAAGACCCGCTCAATTCACTCCCATGTTATTTATGGTCTTGTAAGGATATCCAGAGCGGTGATTAAAAGTCGCACAGAACTGAGAGAGTGACGGTAACATTGTAAATACTATTCCAAACAGAATCAAGGGCGAGCGATTACCAGAGAACACTGTCGTCAGACAAAAAAAATTGGTTCTGCGTACGTTAACAGCCATCTGGAGGTTGGAAGGATACCTCATCGAAAAGGACACCCGCAAATCTACCATATTTGAGTTATTCAGTTCTACAGCAATCCCCAAACACACAAAATATCTTTATTCATCCTTGCGGTAATTAAACTGGCTACTAAGGTAAGAACCTCGCAGTGTGCGCTGTTTAGTTGTGCGCGCACAGAGCTTTATAAATCCTCTCGCAGCAGACCAGTGAACAACATATAGCAGTATTGCACTGAGTAAGTCGTTTAGTTTGTCTGCCAGTTTACTCTGGCAGACGTCCTCGCTTAGAGAAATTTCTGAGTTGGCAGAATTCCAGTGTAAAGAAGAAACAATTGGTGAAAAGAAATTTGCTGCTGTAGGAGTTTAATCAACTGGACACTTTCTTGAACCTGCTTTGGTACTTTTTGGTCTAACCGGTTTAGTCTCTGTACTTTTGGAACTCGGTTGCAGGGTGCTAGTTTTCTAATGATTTATGGAGGTTTCTTTTCAGACTGGGTGTATTAAACTAATTAAAAATATTTTTTTGGAATTTGCGGTGCACGGAAATCTCTGTTATTGCAAAAATATTTGATTTATTTATTTTCTTGACAAACACTGTTTTGATTCTGTAAGAATTGTACAGTTCTTTTCTTCTCTTCACCTCGTTGGATGATAATTCATTTGATTAGAAAGAGAAGTTGATGGTGCTTTATTATGACCTGCACGTGTCTTTGAAATAGCCGTTGTACCATATAAGTGCTGATGAAGAATCTTTTCAGGAGGTATGCTGTTAACGGCCAGGAGAATGTTTTTTTTTAACTTGCGCAGATTTTCTTCTGACACTGCCCCTGGTCCAGTTCAAAAGGCTATCACTAAAAAGCTAGTCGAGAACTTCTGTGTAAGTAGTTTGAAAGGTATCAGTTTTGCTTCACTATAGCTAACAGTTACGATAGAATTGTGAGTTAATGAGAAGTGCGCTTGCAACATTCTGCGAACATTGTCACGCTTGTAAAAAGCCAAGTGGAATTTTTACAGTAAACGATAAAAAGACGGATACTTCAGGATCGTAGCGCGTTTTGTTCATTTGACTCTGACATTTGTTTCGTCTTATATGCTGACCTTTGCTTTAACGCAGTAAATTGTTGCTTTATAAAATAATTTCTATTTCTTTGAAAGCAATCATGTTGGCGGAATAATAAGTCTAATAGACAAATAATGCTTTTGGGACAGTAATTGATTAGAGCGATAAAGAGATAAATTTACAGATTACAGCTTACTTTACCCAGTTAGCTTCAAATCAGTGACACTTTGTACATATTCTGATACAGTTTTTAGTACCAGACGGGAGTATATTAGAAAATGGTCTAAGATCACTGAGGTTTATTGTTTTTAGTCTGAGTCTTTAATTTTTTACGCTTATTTATCATTGTTATCAACAATTTAGTTGTATGTAGGTGAGACTATTTACGTAGTTAGGAGTTATATGCTGTTGTTTGTTTGTGATATTCTTTAACAGTGTTGCAAAATATTTATCTCAAACACTGTAGTGCTTGAAAGATAAGAGCACTTTTTTTACTATAAGGTAATTTAACCTCCGGGGAGATGCTTATCTATTCACATTCATTGCTTTAATAGGGAATTCGATTAACCATCTTAGGCATGTTGGTTTTTATTTTCTACTAGTTATCGTGTTAAGTTGCCTACCTTGATTTGGTCATTTTTCAGTCACTACGAAAGGATGATGATATGTTTTGTCCTCAGTTATTCCATTTATTTACAGCCATCGCATCTAAAAATCCAATGCGAAAGTCCCCTACATAATTACGAGAAGGGAGTTGAGAGGCATTTCAGAATCCAAATAGTTTCTAAAAAGTTTGAAGGGTTATCTTTAATTCAGGTTTGGTTTTTTTCAGCGACCTTTCAGTATTGGGTTTTTGAAGTTGGATAGCTTGGTTTAAGTATTAATACTGAAATTTAAAAGTGAAAATCAACAAACTGACGTTAATTGGATTTATAAAAATGATTGATTTTAGATGCATAGGTTAGTAAACCAGTGTTTGGGTGAAGAGCTTTCTGGAGGAGTACACGCAGTTCGCATTGAAGCTTATCCCCCGTCGAAATATAAGGGTGAAGGTTTTCTCCCATCTTCCACGTGTAGAGGAAATGCTCCGGGAGTTCTAGAAAGTCAGCCTCGCTAAAAATGTTTCGCACTTTCTGCTGACTCTTTTCGGTATCTGTATCAGCGCGTGGCAATGGACGGAAAATATGTGGAAGCCATAAGTACCGTAGTATCTTAAAAGTAAAACTTTGTTTCTCCTGTTTATGGTTGTAGATGAACATAGTAGGAAAACATTGAAGATTTGTAACTACAATCATCGCTAGATGTATAAGATAGACCTTTGAGGGTTAGAATTCAGAAATCAATAAAATTATGGAACATTGTTTCCACATATGAAAAAAGTTAAAACGCCTACCTCACACTAGAAAAGTACTACCTGCATTTGAGTTTTACAAAACGTAATATACCCTTAAATCTGTCGAGTGAATTTTTTTTTTGTTTTTTTTTTCTTGAAAGGATTTTTCTTTTTCTCCTGTTTTTTACACCACAGTGTATAGTGCTCAGTTACGTTTCTGAAAGGAACGACGAATTAGGACTTGTCTTGTGAAACAAAATTAAGAAATGAGTAACCTCCGCTGGAGTTTAAAGTGGTTGAGGCCAGCTAAAGTTCTCCTCAAGCGAACATATAGAGGAATAGGTTCAATTAAGAAATACATCTTTTTTTATGGAACATCTTCCGTGTGCATATATAAATTCTTATTCAAAAACTTTCTTGTGTATTAAAAGGCAGAAATTCTTTCCAAAAAGTTCAGCACTGTCCATTATAGAAGGGTTGTGGTGGTTAAAGAGAAGAACAGTCATTACTTGTTGCAACTGTGTTTTAATGAGGAACTGTAGCAACGTCATGTTGTTTAAAACACCAAAATAAAATGAGTATGTGTCAAAAAACAACCAAAAAAAAAAAAATTTTATTTGTATGGAAACGTTGGACTTGATATTTGTTTTTATTTTTACCGTCATACTTCTGTTCTCAAACAATGATGTTTTGCCAAGCCGCTACCGTTATAATGGTTTATCACGGAGGTAAAAACGTCCTGTTGACGAAGGATAGAGGGGAAAGATGAATTGATACGACCTACTGTTCAGTGCCAACATCCAAAAAAATATATTCCTTACCACAACACGCTGAACAGTTTTAGCAGGATACGTAGTGTTTCTATCGCGGAAGAAAAGAGTGCGCAATTAAGATGTAATATTGAATTTGAGGAAAAGTGAGCAAGATATATGACTTTCAAAGAAGTCGAGGAAATCTATCGACAAGCTTATGAAGTCCCATTCAGGGCTTTGACTTCCAAAGATAGGGCACGTAGGAGGTGTGAAATTGAGATGTATTGATAGCGTCCCATTAAATTGGTAGTTCAGCCATACAGATTAGAGGTCGATTTGAATAAAGTAGAATGAGCAATACAGTGAGAATTAGGCAAATTTTTATCTTTTATACAGATAAATTCCAAAGTGCAAAAAAAGTCGTACAGCCTCTTTTTTCGCTGATAAGATCGCAGTACTCAAACCAGTCCCGTAAAGACCTTCAGCTTAAATAATGTTACCAAAAATACAAATAGTTTTCTGTTGTGTAACTAACTACTAGTGTTAAAGTCGTCTACGTCGTTTCCTAAATATTAGGGTCTCTGGAAATTCATCCTCAGTAGATAAGAAGTCGCGCCGCATTCAAAGCAAGTGAAATCCTTTAACTCTTGCTTTATTGCCATGCTTTCCCTTTGCAAAGCACCATACCGACTAAAATTTTCATCTGGATAGAATATGTAAAACCTGGAAGAGACTTAATTTAGTGAAGAAGCAGGCCAAAAACTGCTCTTCTTCCTTCCCAAGCTACAATAGTTCCTCATCCAATTCAATTTAATGCTTAATGCTTGTCCTTCCTAGCTCATAACATCCGCCTTTCCCTACCTTCAAATTAAGTCGTGCGATTCTTCCAACATAACTTTCCTTACGGAATACAGTTACTATGGCTGCAATAATTCATCACAAAGAAATACAATCACTCCACATAAAAACAGCAGAATGTACAAAATAATCACAATGTTATCAGTTCTAAAAACAGAGCACTGCAAAATAAGATGATATCCCCAGCTCTTCCCAAATTAATGATACTAGTGTAAAATGCAACTGTAATTTCGATTGATTTTTCCTTTCCAGTTCAAGAATCAGACTCTCCACTCTAAAAACCATAACAATACCAACGCCTTGATTGCGCCTATCTTTGCTGTTCTAAATTTTTTGTTTACGCGAAGAAACTTTTATGTATGAACATCGATAAGAAATTTCGAAGTGGGCTGCACTTGAAATAACTTTGTTTCCTTCTTTTCCTACTGCTCCGTTTGTCGTCCTGACTAACGGACATTATCCTAAAATGAAGAACTATATACTACAGTGGTAACCCTTCAACATTCCCAATGTGAGCCTTTCTCGTAATATTATATTTTCACTGTGGGTCATAATTTAGCCCATACTTGCCTTAGTACCAACCACTGACTGACCTGACAACTTTTCTTCTCTGAGAACTCCGTCCTTTGTGTCTTTGACCCTTCTGACGACCGCTTTATTACTCGAAGTGATTCGCCGGTGGTAATTGGCTATATTGGCGGGACTCTTCTCGCCACTTTACTTTTACCTCACTCGTATATTTATAATCAGCGAATCTTTCGAACACTTGCCAATACCCAGAATCAAACTTGATAACGAAATAATATAAATTACAAATAATAACAATTTTAAAACCCCCCCAAAAGATCCAAAGCTGCCAAGCAGGCACGAACTGAAATACAGAAAGAATAAAGCAGTAAACACAAGACAGCCGAATAAACAACAGAATGTGAGGAACACTGTTGTCAAATTAATGACAATGAATGACACTGACTAGCTTTGAGAATAATGCCTCTTTTTTACCTCACTTTTGTTCACCCAGGCGGTCAGTCTGCAACCCTTCCGGAAGCTAAAGTGACCTTGAAGTTTCCCTACAGCACCTTTTGCGAGCGGGCGCGGCATTTATCCAAGCCTTCACTTCGACAAATCGTGAATCCGTGGAATTTGAATTTGATGTAGCATTAGCTTTCAAAGTGATTTATTGCGTCCCCGAAAAGCAAAATCCTACATTTCTGTTAACATATCTTTCCAACAGGATCTATCGTTTATTTCAGTGGTTTAACCTCCGTAAAAGCAAGATGTTCAATTATCACTATTTTGGAAACTGCTTATGTGGGAACAGTCAAGGCCAATTTGACTTTATTATTGTTCAGCAGCAGCAGCAGCTGTTCGCATAATCCTCTTCAGCATTTTATTATGAGACCCGATAAGGTCTGAACAGTAACGGTAGCTGTCGCTCACGTAAAGAACGTTTTTTTTCTCAGTCAGTACATCAATTCTTTGGAGTCCTTCAGGAAAGCTGAACCACTTTAGTCTGCCCGCACTCACTCGTTCTTCGGCTGCTTTTGTTGTTGAAATCCCTCTTCGCTGCTCAAAGCCACATTCCCAAGCGTGTCTTTAGTTTCACTGATAAGACTGTTCGTCTGCATCTCAGTAGAAACTTCGCATCCCGCCAGTCGCACGTCAGACTTTTCCAGGTCCGCAGTCTCGTTCGCTACCTGTTTGCAATTCACATTACTTTTGGTTCAAAATTATGAGAAACGAGCCAGTTTCTTGACTGAAAG